TGTGTGTGTGTGTGTGTGTGTGTGTGTATGTGTGTGTGTGTGTGTGTGTGTGTGATGTAACCAGGTACTGACCTGCAGAAAGGTGGTGTCTTGATGCAGATACGGACGCGCTGAAGACGAAGATGGAGCTATGGGGTTGCAGGTAAGTCGACAGGTAAGTCCCCCAAGGGACGAAGGTATGGATGCTGCCATGCCATAGTACAGTACGTACATCTCCCTTTGACTCAACCTCAACAAATGGAGCACAGCCAACAGCACAGTTGTTCTGCTCTGCTTTGAGATACAATCAATTCAGAAGCAAGTGATGCACAATTGTTCATCCAGACTCTAAAAGCCTGCGTTGCCTGAAACACATGAGTGCACCATTTCTCAAAAAACGGAAAAGCTCCAAAATATAGAACTCAGGCACCTTCATTACCTGTGGTCCCTGAACTGAACAAAATATTGCAGAAAGCTCCAACTGGAAGTGAGGCAGCTTGGTAGACATCGCATCTGCAGTCCGTGGCAGCAAACCACAGCAAGCCATCAGCCACACGACCCTGACAGGAAGTTGTCAGGAAGATGACATTTCTGATCTCTGTTTTTCTCATCTCTATCACTCCATTTCCCCCCCTTTGGAGGCTTGGACCTCTTTGAACAGGTGCCACCAAACTCTTGCTTATGTTTTGAATTTGACTTTATAATTGGACGGAACAAACAGCTCAACGAGTTAAAGGCGTTAAAAGATGGCATTTCAATGTCTGACTATCGATGACATCATCAGATTCATCACCAATGATTCTGTTTCAAAGTTGAAACTTCAAATTCTGTGAGAAAAATAGGAAAATCTGAGTACGGAACCGGGCCGCCCGGCCGACCAGCGCCTGCCCGGGGGAGGTCCCGGGCGGCCTGGCCGGGCGGGCGGCCCGGTTGGGGGCCGGGCACCCCCAGCACACCTTGTCGAGGGGGGGGTTCAGACCCCGAATCGCCATGTTCTGGCGTCCCCAGGGCCTACCGGGTCCGACCAGGCCCAAAAAACGGCGCGTCGGGCCCGTGAGGCCAGCTTTTTTTTTTGAAATTGTGACGGCCCGAGGGCCGTTTGATTTTTGGAGGGAAAATGAGGACCCGTTTGAACAGCCGACTGGCTGGGGCGGCCTGCATCGGCTGTCCAAACGGGGCCTTGGTTTTCCCCAGCCGCCGAAGTTCGTGGTTCAGCCGCCCGTCGTCGTGGAGCCGCCCGTTGTCGCCTGGGAGCTACACTCCCCCGTCGTCGTGGAGCCGCCCGTCGCCCATCGCCAGCGTTGTGGAGTCGCCTGTCGCCCGTCGCCAGCGTCGTGGAGTCGCCCGTCGCTCGTCCCCCTCTCATCATCATCTTCTTCTTCTTCTTCTTCTTCTTCTTCTTCTTCTTCTTCTTCTTCTCTCCTCCTCTTCCGACTATCTTCTTTTTCTTCTGTTTTTTTTTGTTCCATTCGTCAGCGATAGGTCGCGAGATAAACGACAGGTAAGAAAAAAAAAAAAAACCTGCTCCCTTCTTCTTCTTCTTCTTCTCTCCTCCCCCGCCTCCCCCTCAACTTCTTCTCCTTCCTCTTCTCTTCTCCTCCTCCTCTTCCGCCCATCTTCTTCTTCTTCTTCTTCTTCTTCTTCTTCTTCTTCTTCTTCTTCTT